GGCTTTTTTGTTTTTCTCCCCCGGCTTTATTTTAAAGGCACTGTCCAGAGCAGGAAGAAAACTCCGTTCTGCACCGAGTGCGGTGTCTCTCAATCAAGCACAAGCGTTTAGTGAGTTTGTGATTAAGCTGTCAATCCAGGGCAAGAATAGTGACGAAATCGACGCTCACAGATAGACTGGCTAAGTAAGTGCCTGTGACAACTTGTGATGCTTTCCATTTTGATTTCCATTCATATTTTTGCCTGGAACGTTCTAAATGTGCGGGTCGTCGAGATTTTCGTAACTGGTGCGAGTTGCCACAATAAAATATTCTCTAGCTTGTGCTGCGCGTCTTGGTTGTCTCGGTTCTTTGTTGGTCTATACCAAAATGTAATCGACAAAAAAAGCTGCTTGAAGCTCTGTACTTTTTTCACCTATTACGTCCAAGATAATGAATTATTTTTGTGATTATATTTCTATTACGCTAGTAGAGCCTTGCACACTAACTCCCGAGTGTGCGATGCATAATTAAAATGAGATACCCAGAAACCCGTTGTGCCCTAAAGCCGCTGACGCAAATCTTGAGGAATGTATTTGGAAAAGTATTTGGAGGGGACCAAATATCTTGTACTTAAATGCTTTTTTGGAAATGTAACTAGATATGTAATTAAATACATTTTTGACGAAGTATTTTGTATTTGTATTTTGATACATATTTGCATGTATTTTGCCCATCCCTGTTTAATTACAATTGTATTTGAAATACCCACGTTTTAGTATTTAAATACACACGTGAAATACATTACCCAATTCGTAATTAAATACAAATGCAAAATACAGAAAGTATTTGAAATACGTATTTCAAATACTTGTATTTGAAATACAGCCCATCCCTGGTTTAGGCCAATCGGTTTTCCGGGCAGGATCACGCGACTGCAGTCTCCAAGCTAGAGATAAGGCAGAGCACGGCACCTGCCTGAAGGCCAAGGCCACGGATAGCATCCACAGCATTATTAACTTTAGGTCGAACTTTCAAGAGGATATAAGTGACAAATCCTCTCGTTGTGTTCATTGTTAGGTTGCACCTGAAGATAAGCCTTTGCGAGGGCTCCCCCCTTTTGGCTTTGAAGGAGCGCCGCCCCCCTGCTATTTCCCCTACTCCACTCTTCTCCTTTCTCTCCCTAAGCTGAAAGCGTGGAAGAAGGTGCGCAGCCGCCGACCAATGAACCGGAGTGTTTTTTATCCCTCTACTCCTCTGTCTGGGCGCCGGTAACGGCAGGAGCGTGATCATGTGGTAAAGGTTTCACGGATGACGTAGTAGCTTTTTTCGACCTCGGAATATCTGCTTCCCGGCCGAGTTTCTTATGTGCTGTGCTGCGACCAGCGGGGCTACCGTAGATTTTACCACCGACAACGTATTCGAGTGTACCAAGATTTCCAGAGTTTGAAAAGTCTTACGCTTCTTCAAAAAAGACCAGGGAATTCATGTGATGCGTTTAGTGTTCGGTTCGGAAAATTACTGCTTCTGCAACATCGTGTTGAATCTTCACGAACCCCTTTCTTTTCGTTTTTGTGTTTGTGTGGTTGTGCAGTGCCCGTGTCGACTTATATCTCGGATTACATATTTCAAGTCCGGTATTTTCATCGTAAGCGCACTGCAACCTACTCCTTTGCAACAATTGACCGTTCCGTTCCGGATTACCTCTAGAATTAAGCAGTGTCTATTCTCTGGCAGCTGTGAGAATAATTTTCTATTGGCAGTCGCCTGCCATTAGCTGTCTACAATCATGTGAAAACTGCAGGTGGAATACTGACTTTCTTATTCTCCTGGAGTTTTGTCAAAACACGTTTGTTTGATACACTTTTTGTAGACACGTTTCATCGACACTAACGTTTCATCTTCACTCGTTATGCAAAATGCACGCTGTAGAGACATTTTTTCGCGCGTGTATCACTGAGAAGCGTGCTCAACGACCCAGCCCACCCGTTCACGCCGCTTCGTGGCGCCAGTCTGCGGTGGTTCATTACAAAAATGTTAACCCACCTGTCCCACCCATAGACGTCACTTCGCGGATACATTCTGGGGCGGCTCATTACAAGAAAAAAAACAAACAAACAAAAAAAAAAAAAAGAAAAAAACGAGAAGCTAACATAGGAAAGCTAATCTGAGCTGTCGATGAAACGTCGTTCGATGAATTAATGGCGACTGGCGGTGGAATTTCATGGAAATAATTCTACCGGCTGCTGGAAGAGTAGGCACTACCTAAAGCTGCATTTACATGGATGCGACCGTAGCGCATCGAGTCGAGATTTTACGATTTTGATTGGTAGCAGTTGGGTAGAAGAGAAAGAAGTAAGAAGACAGGCTGCGTGTTATTGGTCCCTGCTCGATTCGATCCGCTACGATCGCATTCATGTAAACGTAGCCTGTGACTCACCCCCGGTTTTTATTGCTCAGTAACCTTCTCTGTTGTGTAACAGCTTCATCGTACGTCTTCGGATATCACGGATTGCTTGCAAGTTTGTACTTGTTTACGAAATAGGCTGTCTAAGAAACTTCTGTGAGATTTGAAAACGATCTCGTGTGTCCGTTTGCCTGCCTTTCTGGAATCATCGTGGCGCACACATTCTTTAACGTTTTCCTCACTCTAAAAAAAGCCCCTGCGGCTACTTTCCCGCAGAACACTCGGAGAATTAATCACGGCAACTAAAGGAGGCAGCTCAGCGAATGACGATGCCGAAACATATGTTTAGACCAAAAAACGCTGTCTGAGTTAGGACACTAAGCAATGCAAGCGTTACGTTTTGCATTGTTTAATGTCACAACTCAGACTGCGTTTTTTGGTCTAAACATATGTTTCGGCATCGCCATTCGCTCAGCTGCCTCCTTTAGTTGCGGTGATAGACTCTCCGAGTATTTTGAAGGAAAGTGGACGCACGGGCTTTTTTAGAGTGAAGTTTTATGTCTTAAATAGGTTTATGAAGTTATGAAACGCATAAATTGGTGTGATCGTGCACCTTTGAATCGGGTGCATCTCTGTTCTCTTCGAATTCAGTGGGCGTAGAAAGAGGTGTAACAATACACTATTGAACGGGGTACTCCTGTGTTTCCTTTGAGAGCAGTAGGTGTAGAAAGTGGAGTAATGGTACACTATTGAGTGGGGTGCATCTGTGTTCACTTTGGGTGAGGCGGGTGTATGAAGCGATGCATTGGTGCACCTTCGAATGGGGTGCATCTGTGTTCCCTTATATTTAATTGGGTGTAGAAAGAGATGTAGCCCTAAACCATTGAATGGGGTGCACCTGTGTTCCCTTCGAAAGAGATTTCTGTAGAAAAAAGTGCACATGTGCACCACACCAACGGGTATACACGTACTCCCATACCTGGGGTGTACATGTATTCCCCCAAAGGGTGATATGTGACAAGCACTTACACCCCCTATGGGTGTACCACATGACACCCTTTTTTTAGAGCGTAGTGTATAAAGAAAACTGCACAGCAGCATACGTATTTTTTTACGTACACTTAGCAAGGATAGGCCAGAATCATTTGTATTCATAAATGAACCTTATTGTAATATTTTTTCAAGGAATGCCATTCCAAGTGAGGTCCTTTCAAGCGCATGGTGCCATTCAAGTGAAACTTTGCTGACTTCTGTTCCACAGTCACGGTAAGTACACCACAGCAATGATCACAAGTGCTGAAGGAGTAACCTTCACAGATGCTTGTGAGCAGAAAAAAAGGTATAATGTACGTTTTTATTTACATTTTAACATCTAAACTAAGCAGCTGCTTTTGTTTTCTCAAGATTTCACAGTCAGCGAATTTCCTAAATTTTAGCACACGTCCGTTCCGCGTAACATGTGATTTACAAAGGAAGTGAACTGGTTTACTTAGCCCTTACCAAGAATCGCCCAGTAGTCATATCTTTTTTAATAAACAAAGCTAAGGCTTTGTAAAAGAAAAAAAAGTACGCTTCAGATAAAAACATTTTTAATCGGTCCCAAAACAATTTCAAAGCTTTGCCAAAAAAAAAAATCACGTCAATTATGCCATGAGGCCATGGAAATATTTAAAAAAACATTTCTATTACTTTTTTATTATTAACCTATATCAATATAAACATTCATGCTGATGCCGTTTGAAAGTTCACGCACGCAAAGAGCTTTGGCCTTTGTGGAAAAAGAGATTACCCTGAAAAGGGTCCATATACGCTTACTCGGGCGACCCCTTCAATTTGAAAGTACCGTACGCTCCATTTTAATCACAACCTTTTTTCAGTTTCCCGATAATCTACTCAATCAATCACGCACAGTACATCGCAGCAATTCCGCGTTTCTTTTTTTTTTTTTTTTTTTTTTTTTTTTTAGTGATTGGTTTAGTAAGCGATAGCGAACTCATAAAGGCAACAACCGGCGTGCTGATGCACTCTTGACGCTGCTCGATTAGTGCCATTAAATGGAAGCGTCGGAGCTGTTGGACTTATCTAATTAGGCACGGAATATATGTGGGCTGCTCTAGTATATTACCAATAAGCCAACGTAAGATTGTGTGCAGTGATAGCTTCAGTTCCGCAAATTTGAGCAACGTAGGCACGCAGGAGGTCATCGCTCCTGCCGGACAATGCATGCCACCTGATTTAGCGTACTATTGTAAATGACCATGGGAAACAGTGCGAAACAATGCATGTAGGTTATCACACCGGTTAATATCGAACTGTTACGAATTTGGCCCCAGGTATCTCCGAGACAGCCCCGGAGTCTAGCCTTTTATAATACTGATAAAAGTGGACGGTCGCAAGCGACGAGGAGTCTGACGCAATCTTTGGCGGTAAAACGCAGCGCGCTTGGCAGTGACCTTAGAATGGCACGAAGGCGCTATCTGCAAACCTCGTATTTGCTTCTTTTTTTTTTTTTTAATCTTATCTCAGCTTGTGGTCTGTGCTTTGCTTGTAGTACCTCAGCCTATGCTGGTTGGCCAACTCCCGTAACAGTTTGCGTTCAAAAAGTGCCCGCCCCCCCTTCCACCTCCAATGATCGTCACCAGTTGATTGGAGCGCCACCTTTTGTGCACGCTGCGGCTGTTTTCCGAACCGCTGCTGCTGGGACGCGCCGCAGCGTGTAAAAAAGGTTGCGCTTCGATCGACTGGTGACGGGGTAGGCCAGGGGGAGTAGTTTGTGTCTCGTTGGAAGCTTAATAACTGAGTTCGTTTACTAACGTTGGTTCCAATACGCGAGCAGAAATGCGGCCTCGAGAAAGCCATATTTTTATTCTTATGCGTGTACATGGTCGCCCGATCCTCAAAACCTCGACAAGGCAAACCCACTGTTGCCAAACCTGTACGTGAGTTTTTATTTTCAGCGCCACTCCCTCTTAATAAACAAACTAATTTTTTTTTAAAGCGCGATTGTAGGCGCATGTTCACAAATGTAGCCAAAAGAATGTGCACGGTGTTAGCATTTTTGAAACGCAGTCAAGCGTCAGAGCTACGAATCCAAAGCAGTACAATTTCAAGCAAGGTAAGCAATGCATGTATATTTTTAAAATTTTACTTTCAAATCATTATGACCACAAGTACAGGTCATTTTTTTTACTACTATAACATATGAGCTACATTAGGTAAATGAATAAGCTGAGAATCAAAACAATATATAGATTTTATATTTATTTATTTTAATGTAATATTTATTTTAAGTACCATCAGGGTCGTGAGGACAATGCAAAAGGGAAGGAATATCTGTATATTAAAAAAACAAATGATCGTGGCCGGTTTTAGAAAGAGAAGTAATCGCTTCTTTTGCAATCTTGTATCGGATAGCTCTACGGGCGTTACAATTTCACGTCGAAGAGGCATTTAAATTCCGCGAACGATTTATTTCTTCTATCGATTAATGGCCCGGCTTTGAATGGGTAAATACCGCGAAATCGATGGTTGCTCCATCCGACCGATTAATACTATATAACTATCTAAAAAGAAGAAAGTCTTGGTAACTTTTGACTGAGTGACAGAACGCGTAGAAACGGCCTAACGTGTTCTATTCACGCCTGGGGTGATAATGAGCGTGTCTGTCGGCTTATGAACGCGCGTAGGTTCGGCCCTACCTCGATTCGAAACGTCCGATCAGTCAAGGCCGACCAGTTTATACCCAATTATTTTTCTGGTTTCTTTATTTGTTCTATTACTACTTTCTGTGCGCCCCTTTCTCGCATCGTGGCTTCGTCCTTCGAACGCGGACAACACGAGTATACAACGTGCAAATGCGTTCTGGGCAGCGAATTCGTAAGGGCCAGAAAGTTCCGTGTCCTGGCGTCGCCGACGGGTTTCGGGAAAGGAAAACGGAGGTCCATCTTCGCAGGTCTGAGCAACGACGACGCCTGTGCAGCCGTACAGAATGCCACGGAGAAGAGACAGCTTGGGTGCAATGGGTAAGTGAATGAAAGTATATTATAGACTAACCCAACCCTCTGACGTCACACCGCTGCGGTGGCGCTAGTGTCGGCACTGCGCATGCGCAGATGCTTCGCGTCACGCGAATCTAGATTCCGCAGTGCCTACACCCGGAGTAGGTGAACGCGGGCTTGTTTGTAAACAGTGTGTTCGTGTATAGGGTATGTTTGCACAATAGTCTATATATATATACACCCGGGCAGAGAGTTAACCCTTTGAGTGCCGGAGTTTTAACGTGAAACGGTTTTTGGAGATAGTTGCTCCCGATTTCGTGAAGCCGTGGCCTGCGACGTCCCATGATGCAACGCGTGCAGCGTTGCATTATGGGGCTTCACAAACCTACGCGCCGATTCAGTGCCTCCGCTAAATTTTGTAGGGAAGTTAAATCGGTGTATGCATGGACGTCACGTGACGGCAATTCCATCGCTAAATTTAGCGGAAAAAAAGCCTCCCGTGACCCACACATCAATTTAATTTCACGGAGAAATTGACGTCACCTGACCTGGTGTCACCTGATGCTAGAACGCCTCGGACGTACGCAAAACGATTGACCAGCAATTCACCATACAATATTTTTTTTCCAGCCTTCTGAACGCAAATTTTTACTCATTAACGCTGTAGAATGCTCTATGAAATATTTGTACTTATAAAAGACACACACTTTATTGGTAAAAAAGTTAATCGACATCTGAATGCCTCCACCCTATATTTCTCATAATGCACTTTTTGTGACATGGTACCATGTAGTGGAATCTCGAACTCGCACCCTGAGACCACTATCTTGAGCGACCACCCTCGGACTTTGTTTATTCTGAACTGCAACTTCCTTGCTTCCGCGGTCGTCGAACACAGAGTTCATGAGTGGGTTCTGGATCTCAGTTCTCGCCAGGAAGCGCGAGTTCTAACGACACAGATTCGCCATTTTGTAACAACAGAGGAGCATACCGAAACAGGCTCGTTCAGCAACGATTGAGTTTCTTTATACTCGGTCTCCCTTCTCCAATTTGTAGATAAATAAAAAAACTTGAATTCGAATTACAAGTTGACAAAACAAAAAAATGCATACCATTAAATAATGACCCTACAAGGTAAAACATTGTTTTCAAGCGAGTGATGAAAACTTTTCATCACTCGCCCATACATACGACTACACAAAACACACACACACACACACACACACACAAAACAGCCTAGTTTGAAGGCGCAGGGAGCAAACCGACATTGAAACCACACGGGAACGCGCTCAAGTAATATATTGGGCGTGGCACTCGAAAGGTTTTTGATAGCTCGACGTCGAATGTGACCTCTTTTCGTTTCGGGTGCTTTAACTTAACTCGTAAACATTACAAAACCTGAACCACTGTTTTTTTTTTTTTTTTGAACGAGACGCATGGGAATGTATTGTTGAATAAAGGTAGAACTAAGCAACTTGACAACAGCACCTTAGAAACGGAGCCGAAAGGTTGAGCGAGACAATTTACGAGTGGAGTAATTCACTAATTCACTCATTGTTTTACCGCATGTTACTTACCCGGTCATGAAAGGCCGTACAGATGGTGAAACATTTCTCGTCTGAGTCAGGATAAAGTTTTTTTTTTTTGGAAGTCTATAGTGTTCTATAGTTGTCAGTCATGCAATAAGTCAGAGTCCTTGAGTATTCATCTTTAGCTTACTCTCGGCATCAGCGTTGAAAAGCAAAAGCAGCGCTTTTTCGCCCAAAACATAAGCTAGTCACAATTACAAGAAATATCGTTTTGAACTCCTCCAAATGAAAGATTGTAAACTCCTTCAAGCTCCTAGGTGTAATTTTCACCGAGAATATGTCATGGGATAGTGATGTCCACTACCTTATTTCTAAGCTGTCACAAGTAGTAGGTCTGATAAACCACCACCGGTACATGTTCCCAGCAAAGGTGTAATTATTACTATACAGTTCGTTATTTTACTCCTACATAAACTATTGCAATTTAGTCTGGGGTATGACAACGTCGAAGAATCTAGAAAAAATACACTTGTTGCAACAGAAAAAAAAAGCGTTAAGGGCTATGGAAGACGTTCCATTTGACTTCCATACAGCTAGTTTATTTAAGAAGTTTCCCGTTATCAATATACACGCTCTATTTAGCTTTAGACTTGTCACTAGTCTAAAACGAACAAATTAGGGATACAAACTTTTTGCTAAACTTTGGACAGCTCTCTGAAAATATTCACGCGTATTCTACCCGTCGTGCGGAATGTTGGGAGGTGGCCACTGCAAGAACAAACTATCCCAAAAATACTTAACGTACTTGAAGATAAAACATTGGAATTCAGTACATTCTCCCTTCAAGAAATTTGACTAATTTTCTCCACAAATGAATCTGAGTATGAGCAAAACTTTTAGGGTCTCATAACTTCTATCTGCAAATAGGTCACTTTTTCTGTTATAGCCGATGATAAAATATATTATGTCTGAAACACGCTTTGTTAAATTGTGGTTATCAAGCTTTGGGAATGTTTTTTTTTCTCGTCGAGCTGCTGCTACTATGCCTTGTAGGCGGTCAAGGACTTGTCAGGTTGCGCCATACAGGTTTTTTTTTTGATCGTCATCATCAACGCACAATGGAATTAAACTCTCGATTATTATTATTATTATTATTCTTAAATTGTTGTTGGTGATAATAACGCTGGCGACTTCCTCGATAAATTCCGGAGGCAAACACTGGAACATGCTTTGACCTGACTTGTGCGTGAATGCATTATTGTGTTTTTCCAAAGTCTTTCAGATTAAACGAGTCCCCTGAAGTATGAACAAAAATTAAGAGAAAGACATGTGGCATTATAGGATTGCAAACTTAGAGAATGGAGTGGTTACTGGAAGTTCCAAGCGATATCGGACGAATCATACACCTCTATTCAAAGGGAGAACTTTCTGCAAATAATCCGAATTTTGTCTCTAAAGAATTGCCTTCAGATATTTGCTCCGAAAATCGGAACAACGACAATGTGTGTGGACAGGTACTGCAACAAATTCAGTGACTGCAAACTGATGCAGTGAACATTGTTCTATGCATAGAAGCGATCTAAGTAAAAAACGGGCTACGTTTTTGCTTTGTTCGTTATAGTGCTTATTGACTAATTCTGGCAGTAAATTGCATTAAGAAGTCATCGTTTTCTAAATAGATCACCTTTAACTTTAGAACTACACTTGACCACAAAGAAAGAAAGGACAGGAAAAGACAGGCAGCTGTCTGTCCTCTCCTGTTTTTGTTTTTTTTCTTTCTTAGTGTTGAAGTATAGCTCCAGATTTCAAAGTGATCTACTTCCAGGTATGTAACCAACAAGCTCAACTCTTAACCGTAACCGTAACCTTGCGTATAAAATTGAGCGGCTTTTCGGAATTCCTATTGAGTTTTCTTTTTCTTGTGAGTGAGCAACACTGGTTACAACACAGCTGCTACATGGGAAACTAAATAACAAGTGAGGAACACACGTGTAGTTTCCGATCGAAAACTCCATGCAACGAAGCGACGCTAAGTTTCGAGCAGCGTGACAGAGAGTCGAGCTTAGAGCAGCTGTGCTGATGTACATCCATACAGTAAAAACAGGCTGCAGGTGCGGATACTCTTTCGTTTTTGTTTTCTACTCAGAACTAAGAACGCGAGCACCGTTGACTCGCAGTTCATGTAGCTCGACGGGAGTCAGACGCCCTAGCTTAAATCGGTTGGCTAATTCATTACAACTCAAAGTTTCGAAGCTCGGGGTGGATACAGCGTCAGCAGCAGCAACAGGCGCGTAACATGGGGTTTGACGATAATTCCCTGGTCGTATACTCGTGATTTAAGACGACCATAAGACAGGGGAAACAAGAAGGACGAACACAACGAAGTCTCAAAACCAGGGTTGCCAGGTAGGTTCTAGCTCAAACCGCCAAATGCCAGACGGGGTAGCCCAAAAGTAGCCAGATACAAGATATTTATATAGCACACAAAAGTAGCCATTATTTAGATATCTGCAGAGCCCGAAAATATTGTGCGCTCGAATGTGCGAGCTCAAGGCGAAGGCACTGCGTCTGAATATCTTGGGTTTAGGAGCAGCTTGCAAGATCTACGACATATTAAAATGTATTGAAAACATTTTATTTCAAACTAAAAAATGTACACGAATTTTCCACAAGCGTTTTTACGGTTACACAGTGTTGAAACATTCGCCCGTGTTCGGCTGACTCGCCTCATATGATTTCTGTGTTAAAACAGGTAACACATTCTTTAGTGGGGTTGATGCCCTTACAGCACTTGCCCTTCCCAAGGAAAGCAAACTTTACATAGAGGATCTTTTGAAAAGTTGGAAGGGACACCCTGTCTTAGGTCTGACTTTGTCAGGTACACGTGACTGAATACTCTCTCCACGGCGGCATTCGAGGTGCAGCGTCAGAAGCGCGATAGCAAGCTCGGATAGCGACGGAAACATGGCTGCCCTTGCGCTTCGTACTTGGCCTTCAGAATATTCATTGTTCTAAATCTGTTGTCCAATTTAGTGGCTAGGATTCCGTGTTTTCGGAGTTTATTTCTCGTGATATTCGGAGGGTGTTTTTCGGCGTTTATTTTTCAAGGGGGATTCGGGGTTTATCAGAGTTTATTTTTGTTAGATTCCCAATTCTTTAACATTAGAAGTTTATTTTACTGCGTAAAATTTAAAAAAATCGAAAACGAAATAAATAAGGTTTTGTTACCATGACACGTTTTTTCGAAAAAAAACCTCGACGTGCAAAAAAGCAAACCCTTTTTTGTCAGTAGTTCTAAATCTTAAAGGAAACTGAAGTGAAATCTCCTCTTGTGCTTTTATAAAGTTTAGTTGTAAAACTACGTCTTTTTGGCTGTTTATTTTGTCGCTGTGACCTCAAAATTCAGAGTTTTTCAGATTTTTTCGGATTTATCCGAAAACTCGGAACCCTAGTTATGGCTTATTGTGCTTTAAGAAACTTCCATGTTTCGCGAGAAAGCCTTCTTTGTTATATACGGTACAGCACGAGCTATCGGGCGACATCAAACTCTGCTAGATGTCTTCAGTTGCCTTAAGTGTCCTTTTTCCTCGGAAGAGGTACCTCTTGAGGAGAATGGTGGAAAACTCGAGGAAATAAAAGACGCCAGAGTGAAGGCGAAATAGCTTGGAAGCATAAGATAAGCCACAACGAATAGAAAAGCGATATTCAGAGCTGAATACGTCCCTCTTCTCGCTGGAGCTAATAGGACCTTGCGTCACGACCACCCATCTTCACAAAAAAGTTCCTGGAAGCGGGAATCGGGAAAAGGTGGACTGTCGCTTTGTGTTTACGCTAAATTGTTTTTTTGCTCAACTACTCTAAACCAAAAAAAAAAAAAAAAGAAATCCGCTTTAGAATTTAAATAGCCCAAAAATAGCCACAGAGCCAATCGCCAAATTTCGACGAAAACCTGGTAACCCTGCAGCCAAAACACAGCTGCGAATATATTTTTCTGACTTATTCTTTCTATAGAATGACCTTACTAGAACTTCCTACTTCCTACCCTTACTAGAACTTCCTACTGTCAACCCCACAATACACGTCAAACGGGCAAGACCCAACGACCCCGATCCGAAGAAACCGAACCAAACCAAACAAACTCCCACAACAATAGAACAATAGAGCATCCACCGTCAACCCCGACACTCGACAGAAGGCAAACCCCAACACAACAATTCGAAGAAACAAGAAAAGCAAAGACACCACTTCACATCACCCGCACAAAAAGTTCAAGGTCACCGAGAACTTTCACGAGATAAAAACGTCCGCAACTCCTTGTCTTACACAATGGACGGAACACTTATGCAGATTCCAGCGCTTGTTATCCGAAGTCGAGCTCCTTCAACAGCCTTTTCCAAATATCCTTTTCCGTGCTAAAAGTTTTAGTTTCAGTCCAGGCTCGGGGAAACAATTGCCACACTCCCCACGACGTTTTGCTATTTCCGAATTTGACGCGTTCGACTGCACTCTACGACGGTACGCCCGGATCCCACGAAAAATGCATCTACTCCAAGCGCCGATCACACGTACGTTATAAACACGACAACGGTTCTGTACCTATCTAACCGTAAGTCGAGATGTACGATTCAAGTTCTCTGTACCGCGCATAGCAACGGTCATGTTATATGTCTGGCCCCGTTTCGAAGGGTTCCGGGGCGGATTCTAGAAACGCGCGTTGCCGACGCTGCGCTCGTCTCTTCACTGATTGGGCAGTCTTGTAACCGAACGTCTTGCTCCAGTAGATGCGGATTGAACTCCTTTCATATATTAAAGTGTGAGACATCTGCGTTCTATACACAGTCCCGACAATTGACGAGTACAGTTCTGGTGTTGTACTTACGTGTTAGTTGAACTGATGGACACAATCTTTAACCCTTCGAGGGTCGCCGCCCTCCATGTACATACGGCGGGGCGGGAGTAGCCAGCACGGTCGTCGCCATGTGTACATGTACGGCGGCGCTTAAAGCTGACCCGACGCTACAGTTTGATAAGCCGTTCGGGTAGCGTTACGAGTGGATCGTCACAGCGCTCGTCCTATTTGCGCATTTGATATCACCGGCTATAAACGAATCACGCGTAAGGGATGCGCGTTTTCTTGGAAGAAAACTTGACCGAGAAATGGTTGAACATGAATGCAATTCGAAATATTCTTGTTGTTGCTGTTTTCTTTTTTTTTTTTTTTTCAGACACAGTACGGCATCTCAGGTATGAGATGCCGCCGGCCTCGGCATTTCGAGCTGACGAACTCCTCAAAGAAAAGGACGCACACTGCGACCCACAACAAGGAGATGCCGGGGCTCCCATCCAGTTAAAGAGGGAAGTTGGGCTCTTCAGCGCGACTGCTCTGCTCATCGGAGCTGTCGTTGGTGAGATATAACGTCATCTCATTTCTGTGAAGTGTGGGGTAAGGGGGTTGGCAATGCAAAGATATATTGAGTTCTCTCGACTTGTCCTTGCGTTTTCTTTATTCGCTGTAGTCGCTGAAAGATTAAGAAACGCAGACAGTGGCGAATAGCGAGTATCAATAAATATCACTCTGCAGACGATAGCACTGCAGCATAGACTGATCCGATCACCTAAGATACAATCACAGAGCTAGCAGCATGAGCGTTTCTTAAGTTGTCAGTATATACCCCGCTCGCCGCTAAGCTCACATAGATGGCGCGGAAGCTACCTGCCGCCCGGACCGATCAACTCGTCAGCCTTTTAAAGATGCCCGACCCCGCTTACTGCGTGTGCGTGATCACGTGGTGCAAGGCAGACTGTTTATTGGCCCAACAAACACGTAGCTTCCAGCCAAACTTGTATACGTTAGTTCAAAAAAAAAAATTCGATTGCAATTACACATACCCTCGGGTAAAACTGTAGGCATGGAAAATTGATCGATTAACCTACACCGATTATTCGATGAATGTTTTAATCGCGATTAACTTTTTTGTTTTTAACCGGTTAATCGGTAAAACTTCTTCGAGACAAAAGAAAGTAAAAAAATCAACGTCTTCTTCACTCAGACGTAAACGGGCACACCTGTACGAAGGGCAAATTTTAGGTGAAATGTTAACCTAAAGTAACTCTAGAAGGTTACACGTGCTCCGGCCACTTCATTGCTGTGCGATTGTCCGTTTAGAACAGCAGCGACTATTGTGAACAAGCAAAGGAGCTCGCTTTTGCCGAAGAGTATCAAACAAGGAATTTGATGCGTTATAATGAATACTGTACAAGTGTGCTTCTATACCCTCCTGTCAGCTTAATGGTGAATGGACTATGGATTCAACATGATCTATGTGCCGAAAGCAATCACAACAGCCGTGACACATTTCTCGTAATATTCGCTGTAACTAGAGTTCCGTGTTGTGGTTCTTCCTTAGATTTCGTTCTTTTGTTTTGTTTTGTTAATTTCTTCCCGTAGATTTGGTGTTGTATAATGTCCGTTTTTGGTGTTGAACAAAAAAAGTGTGTTTATAAAAGGTTATGTCAAAAAAAAAAATTGGTTGTAGGGGCGAGGGATCTTCTAACCACCAGGGAGTCCAGGGAGTATGCGCGTGATCCGAACACTTGGAACACATTCCAGTACCGATAAGAAAAGGAAGCGAGATATTAGAAAGTTTTAGTAGATCGTTTTGATCGTGATTTAAGACAACCCTGAGACAGGGGAATCAAGAGGACAAACATGACGAGGTCTAAAAGAGTTCGTCATGTTTGTCCTTCTTGTTTCCACTGTCTCTGGGTGGTCTTAAATCATGAACGTAAACCAGCTTTCCTGCGCCTTATCACCCATTTTAGATCCCTCTGATAACTCCGATACGCCCGGTAACGATACCCGATAACGATACGATGCATGCGCAAAAGGCGGAGTATCCGGAATCGTTATCGGAGTCATCGAAACGATCCACCAAAACTCTCTAATAGGTTGCGGTTACTAGGAAAGAAGCAGCTTCGCGGGCAATTCAGTGCTGACTCTGTTCCGGATTGACACATAATCAAAACTGTAGGTAAAAATGCCTTCCCGTAAAAACTTAGGTGTTTTTCTTGCGCAAGGACTGATCCGTTTCGAGGTTTTTCGGTTTTCTCAGATTTTAATAATACCGCGTCGGGTCTCATTCCTCGGTGTTTATCGGTATTTACTAAAAACACGAAACTTCAACAACATTGTGTTTTTTTTTTTTAAGGTTTTACAGATTCGTCGTTTAAAAAGCCATAAAAGCTACAGTAATACAATCTGAGCAGGCGAGTTACAAGGCCGGAAAAATTATATAAGAGAATAATCGTAGCAATAAGTCCAATAATTCACCAAATTTTGTTAGTTACCTTTTTAAATATTTACATTAAAGGAGCTGTGCAACAATTTCATGGCTTTGCTTAAATTATTGTGGAAGTTGATGCCTGACAGTTCTGAAGTGAACTACAGAAAACAGATTTTGCCTGGATACACTAGTTTTTATAAAAAAAAAGAAAAAAAACCGAAAAAGATCCAGGTTTTTGTCGCCTCTCAATTCGTACGTCGTCTTCCGGGTCACGTGCGCAGTGACGTTGCTGTGGTAGGCGCGGGGTTTTGGAAAAGTTCTCTCTTTAGAGCCATCAGTGAGCGGCGAGAACTCATCCGCTCGCGACCGCGTGACCATATGCTGGCGGGCGCCGCGCGAACAATACGGTGAAAGGAGGAAGGTCTCATCCGGGTCCGGCCATACCCGTCCTTGCCCGTTCGGCGCTGTCCCCCTCCCCCTCCGGCTTCTGGCGGCTGTTCCGGCTGTTCGCGGTTTTGTGGACCTAGGGTAGATGGCGCCACTAAACTTCCGTATAATAAAAGTTTTGTCGATGATACAAGGTTTTTGGCACATTTATATATATGTTGGAACGACAAGATTTATAGAAAAGTTGCCTTTTATCGAGCAAGTATTCGCACAACTTGGTATCTTCCTAAAAGATTCCCCATTGACGTCACTCGGCGTGTTTTTCATGGCCGCCGCTCGCGGCTGCAGGTCGGGGAATATTCTAAGTTTTGCCTCGATGAAAGGAGGTGTGTTTTCAGTCATTTGTGTCAAGGTGAACAATATCAAAAGCAGAATATGCCAATTCTTTCAACGTTAAAATCGTTGCGCAGCTCCTTTAAAAATAAGATTCTAAAAAAAAACAAAAAACTTGCCGAGTTTTTTGAGCGTTGAGTAGCAGGGTAGTGCGCCAAAGTTAGCACTGATGCACCAGGCGCAAGGCTAATGGTGCGAAAATGTGCCCGCGTGGTTTAGTGAACAGGGTTCACAATGTTTTCTTATTTTTATTGGTTACTTGAGACGCAGCTTTTGAAGAAAACAATCGGTGACAACCCGAAAAAACATGCGGACGTTATCGTGCGGCGTGAAGCCATTTACAACTATTGAAATGGGCCCTAATCTTTTCACGAAGTTGTACCGAATTTGTTTGTGAACTTTTTTAAAACTTTTTATGCGCGTTGTATTTTCGGCTTGTGGTTTTCTAAGGACCCTAAGCTAGACAAAAATATGACAGTTTTATTAATCTACGCAACCAACCATAATTGAAGATGTGTATGCTTAACAGTAAACAAGAAAAGCCGAAGGAACCACAAAGCTCTCATTTGAATGTCATATATTAAAAAAATAATTAATCAGGAGAGCCGGAAAACAATCTCAATCCTTTGCGGTGATTTCTATTCTCCCGATCTGGCGTTGGTAAACGAGGTTTGTTGAATATTGTCACGAACGACAAGTGATGAGGCGATAGTAACTCAAGAAACTAAACGTTTAATGGGGCGAACTTGTGCCCAAAAATAAAAAGGGAACAGAAGAAAGTAGAGCGTCGCGGGCGTCGAAGTCGGCGTGACAGCAGAGTTGAACGCTGGGCCGAAACTGACTGTGGCTCGCCACGCGGAGCCCCTTATGTACATGCGTGGGCTTCTGAAATAATCGGCGTAGAAAATTTGACGCGTAGAACATTCGGACCTCGAACAAGCCAACAAGATTCTCGAATTTACCAGAATACTAGTCTGCAGGAATAAACAAAAAGATGCGTGCTCCCAGGAATCGAACCCTGGCTTTTCGCGTGGGAGCCAGGTATAACCGTTAGATCACGCGCGCGCTGCCTACTTGGCCAGCGGCGCGCGCGGCAATATTTAAAGCGCGGTCATGTAGAAAAGAAAACAGAGCAGACACGGACGACATGTCTGTTTGCTGAACACTCACAGAGACGGGATTTTCATGTCTTTTTTGTCGAACGCCACTTCGACAAAACTCCGATGTCTGCGGCGGCGAAAACTTGCGTTGCGGACGTCGAGTGGAGCAGCACGAGCGGTGCAAACTTCATCTCACAATTTCCTTTTTTTTTTCTTTTTTTCGTAGCCAAGGTAAACATTTCGTGTAGTGCAGAGAAGTCTGAAACCAAGTTGAGCTCGTTGCAACGCCTGGCACATATTGCCCAGGGCACGGTTTCCTTTAGAAAACACAAAACTTTCCACCAAAAAAACAAACAAAAAAAAAACCTTCGCCAGGAACAACCAGAAAAAACTAAAAAACCTTGAGTCGCATGTGTTGGCGTGAAGCACTCTAGTCTACCGCTAAAGAGCAAGACTATTACATATTCGCATAAAAAAAAATTAAAGTGTCCTCAGGGATAAAAGACATGACGGCCTAATATTTTGTCCATGTTGGGTTATCGGAAGTAAGAAAACAATAAAGTTTCCGAATCGCACTTAGTGGCAGAGCGTCCATGTTCTGGAAATGCTGAGAAACCAAAACTCGAGATACTTGACGCTACCAAAATTGCTGCGTGCAAAGTGTTGCCAGACTACCAAACAGTTTCGAATTTGATCTAATAGTTCATATGCGATTATATCGTGACAATTTTCGTCTTGTATATTATGTACCCGTGGCCATAGAAATCACCTTAACAGCAGCGTTTGTGTAGTTTTTACCACATTTTTAAAACAAACCTGTAAAGCTAAAAGAAAGAAAAAAAAAACACCCTGTACAAAGAACGCGCATTGCACGTAATTGGTGGAGATCATATGTTAATAATGAAATAATGTGGTGGGCTTGGTGATGGTTTACCGCAAACACCGCACATTTAATACCACTTTGCGAGAAAAGGGTTCAAAATGATAGATGTTTTTTTTTTTCTTCAGGATCCGGCATATTTATAACTCCCAGCATAGTCTTCAAAAACTCTGGCTCTGCGGGTGTTGCTACCATCGTGTGGTCTGTATCCGGACTCACCACCATTCTTGGTAAGAATTCTCGAATACTTATTTTTTTTTTTTTTTTTTTTTTGCGGGATGGTGACGAAACTGGGCGTGAAATATTTCGAGATTAGAACCTGCGATGAAAACAAACCCTGAAAATGATCGGCGTTTTTTTTTTTTTTTTTTTTTTTTTGTTCTAATGCCACGCAAGCATTAGAACAAAAATTCTACTGCCCACACACACTTGTGTAGACATTAGAATGTTATTCTAATGCCTACACATGTGTGTGCATCTGTAAGGTCGTTTGTGTGGGTTTTTGTTGATCTGGGCGTTTGTTTTTGCTGGTGTGTTGGCGCACCTGGTGAAATTCGCTTATTACAAAGTATTTGTCGTTAGGGCTCGTTCCAGGCCAAAGAAGACGCGACATTTTTTTCACGCCTAGAGTATGTACAAAAAAATACTTTCGATTAAGGCGCCTCTGAACTCCAACAATTTTTTTTTAAATAAAGATTATTTTTGTTGATATCATGCTCTAAGTTTGTTGAATTCGCTTTAAACCCACGCAGTTAAGAACAACATCGTGAAAGAAACGACTGCGTAGAAAACAAATTTAGGTAGGCGCCTAATTACTTTATAATATGTCCTATCTTACACACAACTACAAATATTGAAAGACGTCATTTTGTGTCCGAATAGAAGCTAAAAAAACAGACTTTATGATATTTCTTTATTTATTTTCTTAAATCAACTTGAATTTAGTTATTAGCTACAACTTGGATCTGGGTGTTAGCTTAGGTTCAATCGTGTGTCCCCGTAGTTGTGAGCGGGCAAGCGCGGCAGCGTACCGCCATGTTTTTCGTTTATCTGCACTGGAAGATGCCCCTGCACCAAGTGTTTGTGTGTTCGAGGGCTCCGAAATCTCTACTGGACGTCGCTTCACTGTGCCAGTAATTGCTAAAACCTACACGATGAGTAGTCCTTGTTCCTCTTATTATTAGATTGCGCTTTGCTCGCTGACGGATCGCGTATAGGCGTACTGCGATGAGATGATCGCGGCGGTTTTCGCCGGCGCATGGAGGTGATGTGTTCTCGATTTCCGGGTCTCGCGTTAAAAAGGGGTTAGCGCCGACTGTGCCCCCGAACGTTTTGTATAGCGCTGTGCTCAGGTAAGCTGACATTTATTAGAAAGGTTGGCTGCTACATAGAAAGTCTACGGCAGTCATACCACTATGCGGAATGCTTCGTATAGGAGCCGCATCGTGGCGCCAGTGCCCTTTTGCACGCTTCCAATAGTTACTAAAATGCTTCAAGTTGAGTATTTCTAGCTGAGAAACAAACGCATGAAAAATGGTTTCTTGCAAACCTTAGATAAAGTCACTTAACGTTCAAGGTTTTTTTCTCGTCTTTCACATCAGATGAATATTTGCTGAAAGTAACCCAGCAGATTAGTACAGTCTGAAAGTGTTTAAATACTGCGATACGCCACTCAGTCATTGGCAATAACCGGATGGCGGACAATACACGCTAAACAGAAGCCTGAGGAATATTCAACATGACAACTAAGCTGTCTGAAATTTTCCCAGCGGGTTAACTACAACACAGTGCTTACGATGGGTTAATTATTCTCTCAACCCGCGACAAATACTTTCAGAAATATTGAGCATTGATAATCTCTGAAAAGTAAGCCTCTACGAGGCTACATCCAATGCTTTATAAACATATTAAAAAAATATATCAATAACTTGATCACACTTGTCGTAAGAGGCGATGATATCATCATAAATCTAAACAAAGTATGTATTTACATTTTCCAAAACCATACTGTTGAGGGGCGAAAACGTTGCACAAATGCGGATGGGTCAGCAAACTGCTAGATTTAGCGTTATCCACACCTGTGATGTAGTTGCTCGTGTGCCTATATTTATGTTCATACGTATGCCAGTGTTTTCTCACATGTGCTTGTGTTTATTATTTTAGTACCTTCCTTTACCAGACTTACAATCAAATTAGACATGCGTGTTTCTGTGTGAGCGAGTGAGCATTTCTGTATCCATGTACGCGGTGCGATGTAATCATGTTCTCGAGTATATCAGCGTTTTATTATTTGTGCTTCCACTCCTTATTCTACGTCCTTCATTCAGCAGGCTATTAATCAAGCACGCGCGTTTGTGTGTGAGTGACTGGGCCACTACGTACGTATACGAACTCGTGTGGGTATGATTTTTGTCCCAATCCGTGTTTCTATATTTTACGCCGAATCTTGCCCTAGTACGCGTTTCCCTTCACGCCCAGCGGCTTATCGGAGCGGGGAAGTAGTAAACAAACTTAATTTCGGTTGACACCCAAAAAAAAGGTGGAGAGAGAGAGAGAGAGAGAGGAAGAGAACCCACGGCCCGTTAATTAGCGAAGTAATTTATTACGGCGTCACTCAAGCATGTTGCGTATCTATTTGATATTTCTCGTACGCGCGTGTTATACGCATGGATTGCTCCGGGATATGAGCTTAATGGATCTAAGAGCTTGAGATCCTATTCTGGCGCCATTCTTATCCGACAGCCGTCTTTAGCGTTCAAATGAAAGAAGGGCGCGTAACTTGTGTTGACTGAAAGGATGAACACGCGAGACCCTCGCCTGCGGCGCCTTTCAAATGGAGTCCGGAGTACGCGTATGCGCAGAGAGGATAGATATATTTCTGCCAAGTCCAGTAGTCTGCTCTCCTTTACGTTAGCGAAGGCGCCGCGCCGAGGCCCTGGCAGCGCTGATAATCAGCCGCTCGTGTGTTTACCCCTACGGCGAGTAGAACCGTGCACATGTACACAACTCGTGTCTTAGTCGAAACATGAAGAAAGAACATACAGAAGAAACGGAACAAGATACGACCACTTCCAACTGACTGACAGCCTAAGAAGCACATGACGTAGCGAGACCCGATCATCTAATTAACGCTCCCCAGCCAACGAGATTACAGCACTAGCCGATAACAATACCGAAGAACCAATCAAAAAGCAAGAAGCGTGGATGACCCCGCCCCGCCTTTCTCAAGTTGTCCGTTCCTATGAGCACGCGTGACTTCTTACGGCCAATTACAAGGATGCTCATGGTCAAAAGTTTGCTATAAGAACGTTTATTTAATGTTTATTCGATGCGTCCGCGAAGAACATTTCTTCTTTCTTTTTACTACAGTGAATTCGTGAGAACTCAAATCGTCGGTGAATTGAAGAAGACTCTTCGCTTTCTCAACTCTCTGACGTCGTGACACTGCGGCGCTGCTGCTGTCAGCACTTCGCATCGGGGAGGCTCTATACTCTTTTTCACCCCAACTTGTGCACCGGAGGCTCCACCTCTACAGGCCGCGCATTGGCCAGTCACCGTCGCACCACCACGAAGCGCTCCTCCGCCATTTTTGAATCAAATATAAACAAAAAAGTGTCTGCAAAGAAAAAGTTCTATACGAGCGTCGTAATCGTGATAATCCAATCATCTTAAATAGGGCTTATTATGTAGCACGTTTTCAGCTATAATTTTTCATATGTCCAAATTTATTGGTGTGATTCTTTTTAAAATACGAATCGCACGCAGTCGCTGCGTGGTGACTGAGGCCCTACTGACTGCGTTCGTTTGTTCACGGAAGAGTGAGTCGTTCACAAACAGAATTGCTTTCTTAATAAATACAGCACTCCCGACTTGGCTAACATCTTCTCTCAAATAAAACAATTGTACCGTCAAACTGTCCACTTAAACGGCGCAAGACTTGCAGCCTGAGTGTCTATTTCTTTACTTCTGTTGAATTTACGAACGCGTCCGGTTAACTCGGTGACGTCATGCTGTTGTTGTAGTCGGGGAATCGAATGCTCGACGCGCTCGGCCCGATTGCGTTCTTCTTCTGCGTGTTCAGATATTTTTTACAACTTTATCGTTCTGTTTTATTATTCAGCGTATTTCCTTTGTGGATATCGTTGAGGTAGTGTCCATGGCTCCATCTCCACCGCCGTCGAGACGTAAGCCAGCCGCCACGACACCTATAAATTTGTGGAAGAAGCATCGGCAAGGACGCAAGCTCTCGAGCGATTGCAAGCAGATGGTTCTTTCCGTGTACGCCAAGCTGCGAGAACAATACCCGGACAGGTTGAGGAACGACTTATACCAGCTGACGTCTGAGTATACTGGCGTCGGAGCACGGACAGTTGTTGCCATAAAGAAGGAAGCCATCACGAATTCCGGGCTCCTTCGAACTCCAACTGGTAAGCGCCCAAAGTCGGTTGGCACCCGTCGTCGCCTGGTCCAGTACGACTCTTTTGTGCTGTCTGCGTTGCGGTCCTGCGTGCACGGCTTCTTTCGAAGGAACGAAACCCCGACCGTCACGAAGATACGCGAAGCCCTCATTGAAGCGCTGAAGGATGATGAGGTCGCCGTGGAACCGAGTCCATCGACTGTGTACCGTCTTTTGCATGACATTGGGTTCGAGCTGCAGAAGAGGAGTCGCAACTCTCTTCTCATTGAGAAGGACGACATCCTTGTGTGGCGTGCGAAGTACCTCCGCTCAATCCTGAAGTTTCGAGCAGAGGGTAAGGCGATCTATTATCTCGACGAAACGTGGGTCAACGCCGGACACACCGTCAACAAGATCTGGGTCGACACGACGGTGCGTTCTGCCAGAGACGCAGGAAATCGCGGCCTCAGCACCGGTCTCAAAAATCCATCTGGCAAAGGCAGCAGACTGATTGTCACTCACGTTGGGGGTGACCAAGGCTTTGTGGAAGGTTGCCTCGACATTTTTCATGGAGTGAAGTCGGGCGATTACCACGACGAGATGGATGGCAACAGGTTTGAACATTGGTTTGACTTGTTCCTGACCAAGGTAGAGCCAGGAAGCGTTATTGTAATGGATAACGCTTCCTACCACTCAAGACGCGTGGAGTGTGTCCCCACGAAATCTTCAACCAAGAGTGTCATCCAAGAATGGCTAAGCTCAAAGGGAATTGACTGGGACAAAGACATGCTCAAGGTGGAACTAATTTCTTTAGTCTCCCAAGTGCGACACAAG